AGCAGCTCTTCTTAAAATATGACTAACTTTACGAAATAAACAAAATTAGATGAAATTATTTTATGACTAGAATTTACTTTTTTAATTTTTAGAGTATTACTTCAGTTTTTATTAGAAAATTCATGATGTTGACAAATTTGTATGTGATTGGCACCCATACATTTACTTCATTTGCAACTATTACTCTTTATTTGTTTTTACTAAAACAGGACTTCTTTCAATTTGAAAAGTTTAGAAAAGGCTATCCTTCTTTCTCTGCTTCTAATAGGAAATGTAGAAAATGTGACGTTGGCTTCTTCGAGCGAACATAATTGTAGGCATAATTTTTTTAGTAGCTTAAGGGCATTCCGTATATCATCTAAAATTTCTACTTTATCGACTTTTAATTACAAGAGAATATTGTTGATAATTAATTATACAACTTTTTAAACCAAAAATGATGAGAAGAGTCCCCAAGATGGTACTTTAAAGAATCAATCAAGCCTAAATTCAATACGATTTGTTGCGAACTAAGAGAGAAAAGTTACATTAGAAATTGTGTACACTGACCCACTCTTTTGTGATCACGAAATGTAACTTCTCTCTCTTAGTTCGCAACAAACTGTATTGCATTTAGGCTTGATTGATTCATCAAAGTACCAGCTTGGGGGCTTGTCTCATCACTTTTAGTTTGAATAGTTATATAATTAGTTGTTAACAATAATTTTTTATTACAGGTAAGTTAGTAAGGTAGAAATTTTAGATGATATACTGAATGCCCTTAAAAGTCATGGTACAATATACTGCTGTACAGATGGCAACTTGGGACAATATTCTTGAAGCTTGTAATATCGATTTAGGTATACTAATTGACAGTGATGATAGTTCAACTATATCGGCTTGCATGCTTCCAGTTCAAGTAAGAGTGTGAAATTTTCTATTTTTGATGAAACTAGCAGGGGTGTAAGAAATAAGTTGTACAAACTGAAACCAAAATTCAAAGAGTTAAGAACTCATGTAATTAGCTATTTGTACTGTTACTTTATATTAAGCCTTAGCTCCGACCGTTGGAGATTTTTAAAGAATGATAAAAGCCGTAAAGAATGTTCTCACCCACGCTTTAAACAAATGTAATGATTGCCATTCATGGTGTGGATATCTTCATAGTCCTGATAATTACCAGCGTACGGTAGCTGAATGATTAAACAACCTCATTCTACTTGCTGATTTACAACAATTTTTTAATAAACTGGCTAGTAACAGCGATAGATTTGAATCCAATCGAATGAATAAAAACATGAATAGTATGGTAGTGAGTAAAGCTCCTAAGATCGTAGTTATAATATGTCCAATCATGATTACGTTTGCGTGGCATGACAAAAAAAATTGGGCTTTGAAGAATGTGACGTTTTATTTTCCTTTCTTTTATGAAAATCAAGTAACATACACATAGTTCAGAAAATAAATTTTCTACTTAAAGCCACCAATGACCATTCGTGCTGGAACTGTCTTTTGTCCTCTGTTTTGTATAAGGTTGTGGAGTTAGTGATTATGATCGTGAAGGACAAGGAGGTTGAATGGACTTGTGTCGCTTAACAATATCCATTGCAAGCTAAAAAGTTTCTGGAGAAGGATGAAGAGAAACCAATTCTTTCATATTTATAGTAAATTAATATTTAAAAGTACGTACGAAAATAACATACAAGAAATATTTAGACTTCTTATATACCAAAACAATGAACCGTTTATAATGAAACAATTATATTGAATCGAATGCCTAATTTACAAAAGTACAGCCTGCAAGATGTAAAAAAAATATCACAAATCAAAAAATTAATTGTACGAATTCATCTAATATGAATAACAATACAGACTGTTAATCGTCAAAATTATCATTAGTAATCGGCAAGGTGCATTATCCAATCCTTAACAGTTCCATAAGAAGGATTTTATGGATGTGTATGCAATAAATTTAAGTAACATTAAATTGGAAAAACTACATATAAATCTTAAAACTATTGACATTTTGAACGTTATGAATGAAATTCACTTAAATGTGTATAACTAATTATAGAGCGATAAATAATAAACGTATGTGAAAATACGAGCGACAGCAATTCGCTCTGAAGTATCCTGCAGTACGATTCCGAGTAGCATCACTATGAAGTGAACCAAGCAGAATCTGCTCTACAAGATAGACTAATCAGCAGAGCAACTCAAAGTAACAGCAGAGCAAACCTCGTTTTTTCGGTGGCTCGACTTGTTGCGTCGCTCTTCTCGTCAAGCTCGTAATAAGAGGCGAGCAGCTGATGATATAGACCATGGGCTATAAATGGCAGCATAACGTCACATTTTATTTTGCTATCGTTTCTTAGTAATGTTATGGCTAGGTGCCTAAGAAAAAATATATTAAAATTACGTAGCCTTATAAAAAAAAGTCTGTTTTTGTTGAAATTCAACAATATCGCAATTCAATTCATTATGAGAAGTTTTCTAAAATTAAAAAGTGTCACTCGGTAAAAACATGGAAACTATGTGGAAAAAGAAACTAAGAAAGTTTATATTAAGCTCTTAAAACTTATACTTCTTCTTTTGAAAAATCTTGACTGCAGTTAAAAAAAGCAAAGGCTATGATGTGCCAAGACTACGATATAAAGTGAAAAAATAAGGAAATTTGCTATTAGTCAAACATGGCTTTTAAAGCTTATCTTCAAGTCAATGTGATTATGTACAAAAATGCAACTTTATTAATCATGATTCTGCAGTAACTTTTTGTGTTGATGAGTTTAATCACTCAGCTAAAATCATACCAGCTACTAGCTTACTGATGATCTGTCACTCAAGAAAAAACCGGATAAACCCACATGTCACAGTTTCATTCAAACCTTAAATCAGAATAATAATCGTAGGCAGGACTGGTTATATCAGAAAGTATAGGTAAAATTAATTAACATATTACTGAAAAAGGTTTAGTTTGTCAGCCAAGGCCACATCTTAAAGTTGGTAGGCGTTGATTTTGAGGAGCGGAAATTTTTTTAAATCAAGCAACCGATCAATCAAGCATTGGTAGTAATCGGTGGGTACGGTTGCTAGAGAGAGACGCAATATTGCAGTTGTTATCGATAGTCGATGGGCATCACTAGATGGTGACAAAACTTTTAAACCTATATTTTAGAACCAACAATATTTAACAAGAGGCATCTTGATTTCAAATACGTAATTCTAATATTTGGTTGATGAATATATAAAAACTAGGATGAGTATGTAGCATAAGATATCCTCCTTGTTTGGTGATAATAGTTTCTATTCTGATTCTAGTTCATGTATCATACACCAAATTCTCTTAAGACCACCGTCTATTGTTTGCCTATCTTTTCAACCGATATAGCATACTTTTTTTTCAATCCTAACTGAGTTCCATATTAAAGAAGTTTTTTCCAATTCTTGCAAATAAACAAATGTTTTTAAATAAGGGAAGAATAAGATTCCTATATTGGGCAGAGCAAAAGACTTCTTTCTATACACGTACGAACGACCATATTAGATCTCTTAAAAATCACAATACCAATTCAGCTGTAGCATGGAACTCACATGACTTTGAGCATAACTTTGACGTTTATGGGGTAACAATCTTGGACCTAACTCGTACGCACGCAATGTGGGCGTGCACACTCACATACACATGTGTGTCTGATCAGAGAGTATTTATGCAGATAATTATATGTAAGGAGGGAGTAATTATACGGACAAATTAATGTCACACGAATATTTGTATAATCTTACACTATGTCATTAACATATATCTTAAAAGTCTATGCCGTAAAGATAACTTATGCCTTGTATATATATATGGAGTAAGGAAACAATCAGATAGGAATAAACGAAATCTAATTTTTAAGAGATTTTAGTGGACATAAAATATAAATTAACAAAGTTTTACATAGATTTCAAGTATGTTTGTAACAAATACACATTTTTTATACTTATTAACACTTTAAAACGCTTAGTAAGTAAGCATAATAGACTTGCTTAGGTTGGTTAAACATCCTGCTTTGAAATGTCTTAAGTTGGTATAGCATTCTATATCAAATTTACTTCCTTGTATTGTGATGTTTCTAAGCATATGATTTTGAAAATTAAACTACTTTGCTGATTGTCTAATATTCTCATGTTCGTCAATTTTTTTCGTTAAACTAATTGACTTGTACCGATATGTAACAATCAGTCTCATTTCTCTTTAGGAGCTGCACATATTCATCTGAAAAAGTGATCGCAGCAGTACGTGTGCTATTATATGAAACTTAACGATACCGTTTGTCTTCTGCTAGCAGACTGTTAATTATAACTGACATAAAAAAAGTTCTGTCTTATACATCATCAGTCTTTATAAGAATTACATTTCTTGTCAAATTATGAGTAGTGAGTACACATTTTACTCATGCATGTTTGTTAGAATATCTTGACTAAAATGCACTGAAATACATCTTATACTGTGTATTTTTTAGAGCTTTAAGCTGGTGTAACCAGCAAAGATGCAGAAGCTCCAACTTTGGAAACGAAGGCAAACATTGTACGTATAGCACGTATCGTGAATATTGCCTTCTGCTATGCGAGGCCAACAGTTCTCGTTTTTCCCTTAATGGCACTGCTTTTAAAAATGTGCATGTAGCGAATAGCGTTTTCCTGTTATTTCCACCCTTGCACAGAAAGATGTTGAAATATTGACGTTTCTTATTTGTTGATATAAATACAGTCATGCTTAAATCATCAAGTCCTATGATGCTAAATTTGTTTATTTTATGACAGTTGAGCTAGTATAGAAAAAAGAGTTGTATATTTATAGACAAAAGATAAGCTCTTTTTATACGTACCAAGTGAATTGATTCAATTAATTTGTATAAAAGTAAAGATAATAATTAATGAATATGATCTTGTAGAATTTATCAAATTTCATGCTATAGTTTTGATAGTTATAGTGAATATAAAAGTTCTAAGCATTAAAATTTACTGTCATAACTTACCCAAAAGTCCACCAGATGTCAAAACACATAACGTTTAACCAAAAAAAACTGGCCAGAAAAGAAAAGTGAACAATGTATGCTGAAAAAGAATATCTGATATGTAGTTCTAATTATTATTTGTCAAATAAAATAGATTAGTTAAAGTGAATCGTTCATAATAACTCAATACTTTTTTTTACTTTTGTTGTTATAGAGTTCCTTTTTTTATTCTAATTCTCAAACGACAAAATAAGACTTATCAAGTTTATCAATTCTTATTAATTTTTTTTGTGTAGCTATTTATTATTTTTTTTTAAGTTATACTCCTATAAGTGCATTTTGCATCAGAGCAAATCTACAATTTCATAATTTTGACTCGTAAAAAAATATATAACACAAGTGAATTTTACATTTTATTTTTCCCTCACCTCTAAAGCATATATGTAAAAAAGTAAGCTCTGATTTTTCATTCTTTAAATAATTTCTTTGAAAAAAGCAACTTTTTACGGGACACGAACCAGTTACCTTCTGCACATGAGCCAAGCAGCGTATCCACTTAGCCATAGGGTCAGTTTAAGAGGAGTATACGTTTTATTGTATTTATATTGGGGTTCGTTTATTATTTTTAATTGAAACATTTATGTTATTTAATATTTATCAAATTCTTATAAATTTGTCTATGTTGATTTAAACTTATAATTGTTTATTTAATTCTTTTAATTTGTCTTTAAAATTTTTTTCAAGCAAAGTTTTGCATCATTTCCATCTGAATTTTTCTTCTAAGTTCATTCATACGAGATTCTATAAAAAAATTACTTTAACTCCCACGCATCTTATTCTTTCTAAATTTTTTTATTCGTGAATGAGGTATTTTCCAAGCTTTATTCACTGCCATGTAATAGTATCTTGTTTGAGATGAGTTGGCAGTATACAATGTTTTTTTCAAGCCATCTTTTGGATGTGCGATACATGGAGTTAGAAATACGACTACGGATGAGTGTAGGAGCATGTATGACAGGTGAAAGAAAAATGGAAGAGATGTTATTAACGATTAAAGAGTTGTCTTAAAACAATCAGAGGATTCGATGGATAGGTGCAGTTTCTTACTAACTAGCCTAGCAGTTCATCGTACCATGGCTGCACTATGTGCTTTTTTTATTTATTTTTCCTTACATTTACTTACTTTTTACTTGTTTAAACATTTTTTAAGATAACACCTAATTACTAAATATTTGAATTCAAACAATGACTGCACTTCATTCTATACATACATAGTAGTGAGTTATTAAAAATACTATTTCATGAAAAATATATCTGCGTTATTTTAATGACTATCAGACAAGTACGATTTTACACTCAAGTACCGAAGCCGCTACTGACCACTGGTATTTTATTTGGTAAAAAGGGAGCAGGGTACAAAAAATAAAGGCAATACGTATGAGTTGCATAATATAACTAAACAGTTTTATGGTGGGGAGAACTGTTTATCAAAAAAATATTGTAGTAGTAAGCCAATTAAACTTATCTAGTTAAATAATGTCCAATAAGATATAGAAACAAGATTGTACACAGAGGTAGAAGAACAGGAAAAAGTTAAAATTTAACGAACGAGAAAAAAACCAGGTGTGTGTCTCAGGACCCCTGGTAGAAGTGAAACTTCCAACTAGTGAGTTATTGAACTCTGTGTCAGGGAAATCGTACAGTGTTAGGTACAATTTTTATGAATCTTATGATTCAAACCGGATGTTTAAAAAAAAGTCTGACAAGAAGATCAGTTTTATTTATTTTTTTAATTCCATATGTAGTCACGCTGGCTTAATTAGAGTTGTTAGGGAAATAATTTTTAATTACAAAATAGTATTTTACAGTTTTCACTATAATCATCTATTATTTCTTGTCTTTCAGCTAGTTTTTAAGTTCTAAAGAGCCGAGATCGATGAGAAAATGTAATAGGTTGATGAAAGAACGTTGTGTTGACGGTACTGACGCTTTTTTACGAGCTCTAAAATCCCGTTTGTGTTGAGCTTTTTGTTTTTTCGTATTTTCTATTTTCTCGGGAGTTAATTAAAGTATTTGTGCATAAAGACGTTATTTTTTATTTTTAGTTTCTTCTTGTTTCATTTTTAATAATTTCTCTTAAGATATCAATGACTTTAACCCCACATCTCTGTTTTTTCGAAGTGCTTCTCTTCTCTCATCATCCCCACTAGCTTTACTCATAGTGATGTATAACTTAAAATGTTAGCCATAGATGGCAGAAGTACCAGTGTAAATTCTCTCACTGACGATAATAATAGCTTATAGATAGTCCTATCAGTTCAAGACTTTATGTTTACGCAGAGTTAAAATATACATGTAGGTAAGAACAGGGGCTGAAGGCGTGAAATTTAAATTAAAAGTGGAATTTGCTGTGGTCCATCAATTTACGTAATTTCTTCTGTATTCAAAAGTATTATAATTATTACAGAATTTTTACGGGGGTTTTAATGTTCTAAAATTATCTAAGGTTTTGAGGTTAATGAATGAAGCCAAGGCGCCTGTACCTTGCCATCCTTTAAGTATCAATTGCCATTACAAGAAGGAAACAAATTATTTCGAATAAGTTATTGTGCCACGCTCTGACTAACTACCAATGAGAATTGACGACGATTTTAAAGTAAGGTTTATCTGAAATACACTTAACGTATTTCTGAAATGATAATACTTTTGGTATAATTTTTATCGTAGATTCGTATTCTATTTATATTTCTTATACTTATTACATACAATTAAATTTTGAATTTTTAGAGATATGCTTTTACCAGGTATGTTCAAACTTCAGTATTTTTACGTTCGTATTTATATTCCCAAGAATTTAATTAAATAACATCTTGTAAATGACTTAACTATAAAGTCATCACTTTCTTAATAAATAGAAAAAAAACAGTAAAGGCAAAAACGTCAATGTATTACTTACTTCCTCAAAATCTTAGGAGTTACATACTACGTAGATATGCAGTTCATGTGCTCTAACTACAGAGAGAGGCTGTGACATTGTGAAATCCATGTGTACCCCCTGTCATTCAATATAACCAACCAACCTATGGAGAGAGCAGTATTGGTTTTAAGATGGCAAGAAGTGGTCCCCCACCACTCTTTCATCTATGAAGAGTCGTAGGGCGACTGTTTCCCTGGCTGCGTTTGCGAGACAGTCAAAATTGTCGTCTACTGAAACAGTAGTTCTCACACTCTTTGTTATGAGCCTTATGTTTACACATAAGTGTATATATATATATATATACATACCTACATCAGCTAATCATGATGTCCGAATGCCAGATTGTCACAAAGCTCTTTCCCAAAACCTAGATCTAAGTACGAATATGTTTGCAAAGCTAAGCCTTGCCAGGATGGTACCAAACATCGAGATAGCTGATCCAACTTCCCGACTAAATTTGTTTCGGTTGCTGCTGTAGCTGCATATTTTTCTGAAGAATTTGTATGAGTTGTGCTTGTTTATTTTTATGCTGTATGGTTCATATTACTTGCAAAGTTGGTAAGTGATGGACTCTTCTACTTATTCACAGTGTCACTTATCAAATCTACATGATTCATCGGTACTTTATAAATTCTTTCAAGTATATGTCATAAGTTAGTTTTACTTGTTTTCATTATTTATTATTTCCATTTAAATGATGGATCTTAAAATGGATGCTGAAATGCTGTGCAATAGAGGTAGCAATAAACCATATACGTTTTCACAAGCAGCAAAAACTGGAATTATCAAGTTGGATGGTCTCACACTTGCAGAGATCATTGGAATAATTAATTTTACTTTTGCTTGCATAGTTTCATGTTGAAAGTTCAAAGTTTAGCACAGACAGTTTTTAGTAAGTAATATCATCATCAGCCTGATCAAATTACGGGCAAGACTTAGAAGATATTTTGCAACGCTCTTAACAAAATAATTTAAGAAATTAGGGAGAGCATATCAAAAGCTTCTGTCTACGAAGAGGAAGACTTTCAAGTAGTCATGTACGGAAATTATAAGCCTTAGGTTGAAATCACAGAGTAAAACACAATTTTTCTTACGAGAGGAGTTGAGGAAGAGTTACACAAAAAAGTTTGGGTGAAACCGACACATGATGAGACGGACCAAGAGGTAACATTTACATTCTAAACCTATCTTGTAATAATTATCACCTCATAAAAGGAAGATCTACTAATTAATAATGTTTTAGTATAATAAAGGCTTAGCTGTTTACGATAGGATAAGATTTACAAAAATATTTTTTTCAAGTTTTAACACTGATAGCAAGAAAAAACAGTTGCAGCAGAATCTCATTAGTTTCCAGGAAGCACAAACACGCATAAGTAAATTGCACAAGACGATTCTCGGTCTGCTTCCACAAATTTACATCAATCTGCTGCAAGATTTGGGTGCAAGATGCTTGTACAAGAGGTGCACAAGACTTGCATAAAGTAACTTGCATTAATTTTTTCACTTTAACGCACTCGCAAGTGCATCAAACGTGCACAAGAAGTGCAAAGGGGCGCGTACGCACGACACTTGCGCAAAAAGTGCGTCAGACTTGCATAAAGTTTCTTGCATTAATTTTTTCATTTTAGTGCACTTGCAAGTGCATCAGACATGCTCAGTAAGTGCACAGAGGTGCGTGCTTACGACGCTTGCGCAAGAAGTTTGTCAGACGTATGTTTAGTTACTTGCACTAATGTATAGTACTTTAATGCACTCGCAAGGACATCAAACGTGCACAAGACTTTCATAAAGTAACTTGCATTAATTTTTTCACTTCAACACACTCATAAGCTTATCAAACATTCATGAGAAGTGCTAAGGAGCACGTGTGCAAGAATTGTGTAAGACGTATATTGAGTAAGTTGAACTCTATAAGTTGCCATTCGTTACGTGCGAAAGATAATTCATTGCAAAATAATTTTGATAATATTTTATGGATGCGTCGAGTATTTTAAAAATTTATTCTATTAATTTATCTATATTTATACTAAGTAAAACGTTTTATTTGACAGTAATTTTTTTTTATACNTTTTTTTGATAAGTACTTTTGTACTGCTCTATATTTTGTATTGCTATATTTT